ATTAACATTCCATGAATTTAATTTCGCTATCTGGCATGGCGATTACATACTATACATAAAAAACTTATAGGATGAGGGTTATGAACTGTTCAAAGGTAATAATAGCTCATGTTATTGACCTATGGCCATAATAACTGCATAGACTAGACAAATGCTAACTAGTATATAGAGTTGCCCTTGGTCTCTTAGCTTATCCCACTACTCACAGTCCCCTAGTAATTGTATTATTATTTACTCCGTTTAATGTGAATAACAAAAACAATATATGGCCAGGCTTGTTTGGGCAACATAGTTTTTGTGGACCTTAAAAATCAATATCGTTGACCTCCGTCTCTGCAACAAACTTTCCTCAGTCTGTGTTTTCTTATAGTATCCATGTTTCTATCACAATTGTGCAATAATTGTATATTATACAGGCTTCCTGTTGAACGTCACCGAAAAGGATAAAAGCCAAGATGCCAAAAGGACGGGCGCTCACTAGTTACCGACTTCCTCACAGGGGACGCCACCGTAGATGAATATTTAAAGTCTGTAGCTCTGCAGGCTCGTGATTATGATCCGTTCCAGTTGCTGCTGCTGGAAAATTCCACGTAATTAATGTTCTTATCCTATATATCATTTTATTTGATGACTCAAGTTTGCCATCTAGCGGTGGCATAAAGCACTTTATAGTCCTTACACCACAAACTTTCATATACATGCTTACAGATTTTACGTACAGAAATTACATATTCATAAATTTCATATGGTAGAATCTTGAAGAACTCTATAGACTAATAATATAAAATTATATAGTAATGAGTTAGCCGTCCTCCAGCTGGTGCTTGGTCGTTTAAAGTAGCCGGATACTAATAGCGATCCATGTTCTGTCCATAGGTTAGTTGGAGTCTCAAAATAGTTTACACTACTTACAGCTATCATCCATACCTGAGTCCAATGTTTCATTAGCTCTTAGAATACAGAGTACGCAAACCTTAATTACCTCGCTACTATATCCAGGGAGGAGGACTATATACCCGCTCTGTTCAATGGTAACTTACTTGGTGAAACATGGTGTAAGTTAACCGTCGATCTGGAGTACTTAAGATCCTCGTGCATGTTAGGATTTGACCTGCATTCGAGTGCTTTTCCATTTAAGACGGCTTTTATAGGTAGCAAAGCGTAGTCACGCGTGTCATGCCTTAGTACAGCCGCGCGAGAGCCAAAGCACTCTGCGGATTTGGCTGTGCTAAAGAATTATTTAATGTCGGCACGGACGTGTATCGATGCGCACATGATAACTTTTATCGCCCCAAGCTTTTCAGGGCGCGGCCGACAAATAACCGTAATCATCAGGCCACCACAGCATCTAATTCCCGTAATGCAATCGCTTGCAGCGCCGGGCGCCGGGGACCCCGGACGATTAAGCAGAAGGCCGATTAGCTAACTTCACATTCGCCCTTTTAGGAACGCTGCTGCCCGCCGAGTTGCTACACTGCGTACTCTGCCTGGCTCCGTCCTGTTACCGGCTCCTACGGTCTCTGATTTTTTAAAGTTACGGCTTCTTCTGTCCGTTCTTTCTTCGTACAATCTTTTTCAAAAAAGATACCACTTCCTTATTTCTCTGAAACTACCACTCAACCCTCTCCCTGGTTTCCTCCTGCACCTTTTCTCTAGGAAAAGATAAAAAAAAATCAAATCTTTTTATTTCACTCCTTCAACCTCGATTCTACGGCACACAATCTTTCCCTTGCCATCCATAGCATTCCCCGACGCGTCATTACCATCCTGATTATCTGCATATCTGCGTCTAACAAAGGTGTCACTACGCACAACTTAAATGTTACGTTTATAACCGTAGCAACAGACCTCACATGAGCCCAGACGCTCTGCGGCTCTTGTTTGTAGTGCTAGGTATCTTCATATATATATCTTTGTTTTGTAACCACTTTTATAACTTATCCAACCTATTACCACTCGTTCGCCAGGCATGCCTCATTGAATGTCCGTGTAGCGAATCTGTAAGATCAGATTAGATTATGTGTTGATGCACAGGTTCCTACTGTGTGTGCAACAGTCGTGATCCAGCGAAACCTTGGAGGAAAGCTGAACATGCGCTGTCATCTTTCAGAGAGGTTGTCGATGAGTACAACTCGAGCCAGCACCGCGCTGCCTTGACCAGCTGCCTGCTGAACATCTTACGAGATGACACAAGGTAAGTAAGTAGGAGACGTGAGATGATGTCAGCGAATGCAAGAGGACATATGATTAAATAATTTCATCGGATCTCTAAAGTTTACATGCTAATAAAGTTTATCTCAGTTAGATCCAGAGTCTATCGGAGAGATGGACGAAAATTTCGTCAGTGCGTTATTTTTAACTTAATTTGGATCTAGCTGAGATAACCTTTATTAGCAAGAGGACATAATGGTGTAATCTAGGGTAGGGGCTTGGCTGTGTTCATGTCACAATCTATTGTGTCACAATGTATCGTGTCACGAGTATGGGGGCAGATCCAGGAATTATGAAATGTAAGGGGCTGGTGAATTCGGAGCACAGTGACATGGTGGGTGAGTAGCCGCCACGTTTTTTTTTTAAGTTGTACGCTGGTGGATTTACTGAACAAGGCTGGTGAAGTACTGTATTCTATTTTAACTGAAACAACTTTTTGACACATACTGGAAAATGTGTGAATAGGTGTTTTATTTTATTTTGAAGTAATTGAAATTCTAATTTAATTATTTCTCTATATTTTTCTCGATTGTGCAGTTTTTTATGAAATAATCCCTTTCAATATGAATATCACCACCTTACACATATACAAGTAGGCAGTTTTTTATCAAAATGATTCTGTTATTTGATCACGTGTTTATAAATCGTTACAATTCGCCACGGGTTGAGATTATTGCCAGCTATTTCACAAATGTGGGCTGTCTTGTCAGGAACCTTGAGAAGTGACTATACTTTGATCCATCAGTCTATTATAATAAGCTTACACTGCAACAGCCGTTGTTGTACTTTGCAGCCGACTGCCTGACCCCAACTTCGAGTCGTGTCAGAGCAAGCATGGAGTCACGGACATGCTAGCTCAGGAGAGATTAAGTGCGATATTTGTCAAGCTTCCTGTCTATGGCACCAGGTACTCTAGCTAGCAGCCAACTAGCTGCACAAGGTGGTTTCCATGGTAACAATCCATGGCAGCAGTACTTGGTAGCTTCATGTAGTAACCGCCCATAAGTTTTTTTTGGTAGGTATCCACTGTAGCTGTCCATGGTAGCTTCTCATAGTAGCTGGCTATGGTGGTTGCCCATGGTAACCATCCATGGTAGCTGCACGTGGTTGTGGAAACTGTAGCAAGTGGCATTCTAATTATCGCAGTATACTGGGATGTTGTAGTTGGTTCAGTTAGCTTTTAATTAATCTTACTGCTTCTTTTTGATTAGTATGTTAGCTCTTGAAACATTAGTTTCAATTCTGTTATGGAAAAAGTGTCGTTAGACATGTTCCTCGGCCTAAGTTAACACATCCATCCTCCTAACCAGTAGGTGGCACCACATGCCAGGCTATTACCCCATACAGACTACGAATTTGGTATGGTACCAAACTAGCGCGCATGTCTAAAGGCCCGCTTATGTCGGCCTTACGACCTAGTCGCCGACAAGATTTGAATATCGTACGTCAAAAACCGGCCAGATCGCCGATAAAATTATCGGCGACCAAACTCGACATGAGTTCTCTTACGATCGAAAATACGGTCGCCGACTGCGATCGCAGAGAATAGAACATGTTCTATTTCTATGCGGCTGTCGTGTATGTGAACACATTTGGGACTAACAGGGTTTACTAGAATCCCACCACTCCACCACAGAGTCACCGCAGTAGACGTTAGATGAGCGCAGATATATGGATGCAAAATGTACTGCATTGTAATCGGTGGTAGCGTGTCACTTGTTATGAAAATACCAATATATTTCCCATGGTAATATCGGTGTTGTCCACTGAGCCGTGCTGCTATCTAACATTTATAACCACTTTCTTACCACGAATGCCTCCCACGATATGCGGCAAAAGCAGGTTTGAACCACCACATCTCCTAGAACGTAAAGATAGTAAAACGTACCCTAGAATGTGATAACAAAATTGCCTGTCGCATAGTGTCACTGTCATTTGCTCACAACAAATTGTCAATCCGAATATGGCAGGAATTTTAAGCATTCCATGAATTTTAATTTCTCTATCTGGATTGCGATAATATATAATAAAAACTATTAGGGATGAGGGTTATTGAATGTTCAAAGTAATAATTGAGCTCATGTTTATTGACTTAATAAGGAGATCATCCCTAAGTCTTATGCCTAATAACTCATAGGTAGACAAATGCTAACTAGTATATAGAGTTGCCCTTGGTCTCTTAGCTTATCCCCACTACTCACAGTCCGCCCTAGTAATTGTATTATTATTTACTCCTGTTTATGTGAATAACAAAACAAATATAGCCGGGTTGTTTGGGCAACATAGTGTTTTGTGGACCTTAAAAATCAATATCGTTGACCTCCGGTCTCTGGCAACATAACTTTCCTCAGTCTGTGTTTTCTTATAGTCTCCATGTTTCTATCACAATCGTGCAATAATTGTATATTATACAGGCTTCCTGTTGAACGTCACCGAAAAGGATAAAAGCCAAGATGCAAAAGGACGGGGCTCACTAGTTACCGACTTCCTCACAGGGGACGCCACCGTAGATGAATATTTAAAGTCTGTAGCTCTGCAGGCTCGTGATTATGATCCGTTCCAGTTGCTGCTGCTGGAAAATTCCACGTAATGTTCTTATCCTATATATCATTTTATTTTGATGACTCAAGTTTGCCATCTAGCGGTGGCATAAAGCACTTTATAGTCCTTTACACACAAACTTTCATTACATGCTTACAGATTTACGTACAGAAATTACATATTCATAAATTTCATATGGTAGAATCTTGAAGAACTCTATAGACTAATAATATAAAATTATATAGTAATGAGTTAGCCATCCTCCCACCTGGTGCTTGGTCAGTGTCGGATACTAATAGCGATCCCATGTTCTGTCAATAGGTTAGGTTGGAATTGTTCCTACTTTCACAAGCTTCATCATACTGATCCAGTCAGCTTAGAACCAGGTATGCAAATAATGTTCATGGTAACTACTTGGTAACATGTGTAGTTAACGTTCAGGTACTTAGATTGTGCATGTGCATGTGCATGTGTTTGTGCTTGTGCTTTTTTAGTTTGTGGTAGGATCTTCTTAGTAGAATAACGTTTTAAGTAGAAACTCGTCACACGTCGTCTTTCCCGTAGAAAGTGACTCACTGTGTATCCAAACAATTAGTAGCTATATAAACACTCTAGGTCGTAAACATTGAAAAATGGTGCAAGCATTTTTAGCTCATCTGAAACAAATGATAAGCTATATGAAGGCGCTCGTGCACTCTACTGGACCAACGACGCCTATGTCGTTGCGCTGGCTACGGAAAATTCCAACGTAACTTAATGGTCTCTATCACCATAATATCATTTTAGTTGCTGACTCAAGTTTGCCATTTCTGCCAGTGGCATAAGCACTTATAGTCCTTACAACACAAACTTCTATAGACATGCTTACAGATTTACCTACATGAAATTACATATTCACTGAAATTTCATATGGTGACCAATCTGTCAAGAACTGCTATAGACTAATAATATAAAAAGTTATAGTAGTAACTGAAGTTAGCCGTCCTCCAGCTGTGCTTGGTGACATTTAAAGTCAGGCACGATACTAAATAGCGATCCATGTTCCTGTCCATAGGTAGGTATTTGGAAATTGTTCACCACCATTGACCACAAGCTTCATCATACTGCCGACTCCCGAGTCAGGGCCTGCCCCTCTAATAACCAGTATGCAAATAAATGTTCCATGGGTAACTGACTTTGGTAACATGTGTACCATTGTAAGGTTCCTGCGTACTCTACGATTGCTGCAGTGCTGTTTGTTGGACTGCTGCTTTTTTAGTTTATGGAGGATCTTCTTAGTAGGACATTACGTTTGCTCAAAGTCAGAAATCCGCTCACCCACTGTCACAATCCATTCACCCACCTGCCTGCCGGAAAGTGACATCACTGTGTAATCACCAGCAATATTTAGCCTTAGTTACGACCATTGCCATCTGGCCAACACTCTAGGTCGTAAACATCCGAAACAATGTCGACAGCATCTAATCAACGGACTCATCTAAGGCCTTATTTACACGATGCGGTCCTAACGTACGGTCCAGGATGCCTAAGTTCGAGAAGTCTGAACCAGCGAATCGGACGCGCTAGGACGTCAACGGTGATCTGTTTACACGGTAAGTTTTGGACGTACGTCCAGGAGCTGACCATGCCGATGCGGGTTCTGACGCACCTTCTGGACGAGTCGCCGAAGTCGGAGCTGTCGTCCCGCCACCCCGTGTCGGCCATGAGTGTACTGCATCTGCGCAGGAAGGCCGCTCTCATTGTTCTCTGCGAGCGGAAGAGAGAAAGGAGACTAGGAGTCGAGACGGGAAAAAGAGATAGGAGTGAGGCGGAAGAGAAGAAACGAAGAGTGAGATGGAGAGAAGAGACGGAGTGAGCGAGAGAGAAGAAACGGGCGTGAGGCGGAGAGAGCAGAGACGCCGAGTGAGGCGGAGAGAGAATAGACAAGAGTGAGGCGAGAGAGAAGAGACAGAGGAGTGAGGCGGAGAGAGAAGAGACGAGGAGTGAGACGGAGAGAGAAGAGACGAGGAGTGAGGCGGAGAGAGAAGAGATGAGGAGTGAGGCGGAGAGAAAGAGACGAGAGTCGGCGGAGAGAGAAGAGACGAGGATAGAGACGAAGAGAGAAGAGAACGAGGAGTGGAGCGGAGGAGAGAAGATGATAGGAGTGAGCGGAGAGAGAAAGACGAGGAGTGAGGCGGAAGAGAGAAGAGCACGAGAGTGAGCGGAGAGAGAAGAGACGAAGAGTGAGATGGAGAGAAAGACGCCGAAGTGAGGCGGCAGATGAGAAGAGACGAGGAGTGAGCGGAAGAGAGAGACACGGAGTAGGCGGAGAGAGAAAGATCCGAGGAGTGCGGCGGAGAGAGAAGGACGAGGAGTGAGCGGCAGAGAGAAGAGACGAGAGTGAGGCGGAAAGAAGAGACGAGGAGTGAGAGCGGAGAGAGAAGAGATGACGGAAGTGAGGCAAGAGAGAGAGAAAGAGACGAGGAGTGAGGCGAAGAGAATGAGCCGAAGAGGTGAGGCGGAGTAGAGAGAGACGAAGAGTGAGATGAGAGAAAGATGCGAGGAGTGAGCGGGAGAGAAGAAGAGAACGAAGTGAGTGAGGGCGAGAGAGAAGAGACGAGGAGTGAGCGGAGAAGAGAAGAGACGAGAGTGAGGCGGAGAGAGAAAGACGAGGAGTGAAGGCGGAGAGAGAAGAGACGAGGATGAGGCGGAGAGAGCCAGCGAGGAGTGAGCGGAGAGAGAAAGATGAGGAGCTGATGGCGGAGAGCAGAAGAGACGAGGAGGAGACGGAGAGAGAATAGACGAGGAGTGATGGCGGAGAGAGAAGCGATGAGGAGTGAGTGCGAGAGAGAAGAGACGAGGAGTGGGCGAAGAGAGAAGAGACGAGATGAGGCGAGAGAGAAAGACCGAAGAGTGAGATGGGAGAAGATTAACGAGGAGTGAGGCGGAGAGAGAAGGAGACGAGTGAGGCGGAGAGAGAAGAGACGAGGAGTGAGGCGGAGAGAGAAGAGACGAGGAGTGAGGCGGAGAGAAGCAAGAGACGAGAGTGAGGGGAGAGAGAAGCGACGAGGAGTGAGCGGAGAGAGAATAGACCGAGGAGTGAGGCCGGAGAGAGAAAGACGAGGAGTGAGCGCGGAGAGAGATAGCGGGAGACGAAGAGTGAGGCGGAGAGAGAAGAGACGAGGAGTGAGGCGGAGAGAGAAGAGACGAGGAGTGAGGCGGAGAGAGAAGAGACGAGGAGTGAGGCGGAGAGAGAAGAGACGAGGAGTGAGGCGGAGAGAGAAGAGACGAGGAGTGAGGCGGAGAGAGAAGAGACGACGGATGAGGCGGAGAGAGAAGATACGAGATGAGGCGCGAGAGAAGAGACGAGAGTGAGGCGAAGACGAAGAGATTAGGAGTGAGGCGGAGAGAGATACAGACAAGGAGTGAGGCGGAGAGAGCCAGAGACGAGGAGTGAGGCGGAGAGAGAAGTAGACGAGGAATGCGGCGAAGAGAATAGATCGAGGATGAGGCGGAGAGAGAAAGAGACGAGGAAGTGAGGCGAGAGAGAAGAGCGAGAGGAGGCGAGAGAGAAGAGACGAGCGAGTGAGGCGAGAGAGAAGAGACGAGGAGTGAAGGCGAGAGAGAAAAGACGAAGGAGTGAGGCGGAGAGAGAAGACGACGAGGAGTAGGCGGAGAAGAACGAGACGAGGAGTGAGGCGGAGAGAGAGAACGAGAGTGAGGCGGAGAGAGAAGAGACGAGGAGTGAGGCGGAGAGAGAAGAGACGAGGAGTGAGGCGGAGAGAGAAGAGCCGAGAGTGAGCGGAAAGAGAAGAGACGAGAGGAGACGGAGAAGAGAAAAGACGAGAGTAGGAGAGAGAGAAGAGACGAGGAGTGAGCGAGAGAGAAAGAACGAGGAGTGAGATGGATGAGAAGAAGAGACGAGGAGTGCGGCGAGAGAGCAAGAGACGAGGAGTGAGGCGGAGAGAGAAGAGACGAAGTGAGGCGGAGAGAGAAGAGACGAGGAGTGAGGAGAGAGAGAGACGAAGAGCAGAGTAGAGAAAGGGTGAGGCGAGAGAGAAGAGACGAGGAGTGAGGTGAGAGAGAAGAGACGACGAGTAGCGGCGAGAGAGAAATACGAAGTGAGGCGGAGAAGAGGAAGAGACGAGAGGAGCGGAGAGAGAAAGAGACAGGAGTGAGGTTCGGAGAGAGAAAACAAGAAGAGAGAAGAAGAGTGAGCGGAGAGAGAAGAGGCGAGGAGTGAGGTGAAGAGAAAGACAGGAAGTGAGGGAGAGAGAAGAGACGAGAGTGAGGCGGAGAGAGAATAGACGAGGGTGATCGAGAGAGAAGAGACGAGGAGTGAGGCGAGAGAGAAGGAGACGAGAGAGTGAGGCGGAGGAGCGAAGAACGCGGAGTGAGCGCAGAGATGAAAGAACGAGGAGAAGAGAGAAGGAGTGAGGCGGAGAGAGCATGAGACGAGGAGTGAGGCGGAGAGAGAAGAGACGAGATGAGCGGAGAAAAGAGACGAGAGTGAGGCGGAGAGAGAAGAGACGAGGAGTGAGCGAGAGAGAAGAGCCGAGGAGTGAATGAAGAAGAGAGCGAGGATGAGGCCGGAGAGAGCAGAGATCGAAGAGTGAGGCGGAGAGATGATACGACGTAGGAGTGAGGGGGAGAGAGAGACGGGTGTGAGGCGGAGAGAGAAGAACGAAAGTGAGATAGAGAGAAAGACGAGGAGTGAGGCGGAGAAGAGAAAGACGAGGAGTGAAGCGGAGAGAGGAAGAAAGACGAAGGAGTGAGTGCGGAGAGAGAAGAGACGAGGTGTGAGGCGGAGGAGAAGAGACGAGAGTGAGGCGGCGAGAGACGAGACGAGGAGTGAGGCGGAGAGCCAGAAGAGACAGGAGTGAAGGCGAGAGAGAAGAAGACGAGAGTGAGCGGAGAGAGAAGAGACGAGGCGTGAGCGGAGAAGAGAAGAGACGAGGTGTGAGGCGGAGAGAAAGAGACGAGGAGTGAAGAGTGGAGAGAGAATAGACGAGGGCGTGAGGCGGAGCAAGAATAACCGAGGGAGTGAGGCGGACGAGAGAAGAGACGAGATGAGGCGGAGAAAACGACGAGGAGTGATGCGAGAGAGAAGAGACGAGTGTAGGCGAGAAAAAGACGAAGGAGTGAGGCGCGAGAGAAGAGACGAGGTGTGAGCGGAGAGAGAAGAGACGGAGTGAGGCGAACAGAGAAGAGACAGGGCAGTGAGGCGGAGAAGAAGAGACGAGGAGTGAGACTCCTCAACACAACAGCTGACACTGACGAACAATATAGTAGATTAGTGTGTGGTGTGTTGTGTTGTGTGTGTGTGTGTGCGGTGTGCTGGGTGTGCGTGTGCGGTGTGCCGTGTTGCGGCGTGGCGTACTGCTGTGGCGTGTGCGTGTGTGTGTGT